ACAAATCTCACTCACTTAACAACGAGCACGGCATTGCTGCCGTGATTGTAGGGAGTATTCACTACAGCTACACTGTGTGGTAGCATTACCTCCTACGAGACCTGACCGGGTTATTCACGTACCAACGGACCGTCAAGGGCCTTTGCTATATGCCCTAACGGAGTATGTCAAGTCCCTTCCAGTCGAGCATCCCCCTTCAGCGAGTGTACTTGAGGGGCCAGCCGACGAAATTGGAACAGATGACGAGGAGTCTCCTTGGCCAACTGCTCGGCTAACATTTTCCGACTTCGATACATGGATGAGCGGACCTGAGGCGGCTAAGGTGCCAAATCAGATACTTGACGTGTTGAGGCAACACCGAGAATTATTTCCCCACAGCCTGCCCGACGGCTTGCCGCCCAGGAGGCCTTACGACCACCGCATCCTCCTCGCGCCCGGAAAACTCCCTACGCGCGCACCAATTTATAAAATGCCTCCTGATCAGATAAAACATCACAACCAGGAGATCGCTCGTTTAACAGCTAAGGGGTGGATCGGGCCTACCTATTCTCCTATATGCGCACCCACCATCATGGTCGACAAAAAGGAGGATGGCAGCGGAGAACGCAAAATGCGCATGGTCATCAACTATCAGGCCCTCAACGCGTTGACGATTGAGCCGGAATTCCCCATGCCTAGCGTCCAGTCGGTCCTTGAGATGCTAGGTGGGGCCACTGTCTTCTCCACGATGGATTTAGAGGCGGGTTTCCACCAAATCCGCATGGCCCGCACGGACAGATGGAAAACAGCTTTTCGCTCGGTGCAAGGACTTTACGAGTATAAGGTTATGCCGCTCGGCCTGAAGGGCGCGCCGGCCACCTTCCAAGCCAATATCAATGCGTACTTGCAACCACTCTTGGGCAGTGGGGTGATAGCTTATCTCGACGACGTTTTGATCTATAGCGCTACATTAGAGTCGCACACAAAACTTCTCGAACAGGTCTTAGGGATTTTCCTACGTCACCAATTTTATCCGAAGCTCGCGAAGTGCAGGTTCGGACAGCGGGAGTTAACATACCTGGGCTGTCGAATAAGCGCGGATGGCATCAAGCCCGCAGCGGACAAGGTTGAGGCAATCTCCATGTGGCCTGAGACCCTGGCAAATGAAACCCAAGTCAGACAATT